GGTATATGTACATGTGAGTGCAGTGCCCATGGAGTCCAGAAGGTGTCCAATCCCCTGCAAGTGGAGTTACAGACAGTTGGGAGCTACCCAGCATGGGCGCTAGAAACCGGACTCTGGGTTCTTAATAAGAGCAGTACACTCTGCCATCTCTCCAGCCCAGTGGGTTTGGATTACCACAAAGACCATGAGTTCAGGACATAAGCAGAAATGGAAAGGTAGAGGAGGGGTAGAGAAGAAACAAGACAAAGCGATACTTGGGGAAGGAGGGATAGAAGACAGGTCTTCTTAGGGAGCATGTGCATGTACTATACGATTTCCCCACAGATGGGGAGGGGTGGGGAGCTGAGAGAGGCATCGAGCAGTCCTGTGGTTAGGTATTCAGGCATAGAACAATCAATTTGGTAAGCAGGTCTTGTTTGATCCCATTATCTAGGGATTGTGATTTGGGCATGCATATGAGGGGGTCAGAGGTTACTCTCAACTGTCATTCCTCGGATGCTTTCTATCTTGTTTTCTTCAGACAGAGTCTCCCACTGACCAAGAATTCACCAAGTAGGATAGGCTGACTGGTCAGTAAGACCCCAGGGATCCATCTGTCTCTGCCGCCCAGGGCCCAGGATGGGGTTACTAACCACTATGCCAAGTTCTGTTTGTTTGTTTGTTTGTTTGTTGAGAGAGAGTTTCTCTGTAGCTTTGGAGCCCGTCCTGGAACTAGCTCTTGTAGACCAGGCTGGCCTCAAAGTCAAGGAGATCCACCTGCCTCTGCCTCCCGAGTGCTGAGATTAAAGATGTGCACCACCACCGCCCAGCTGTTTTTTTTTTTTAACATGGGTTCTGGGAATCAAACCTCATTTTGATATAGCAAACACCCTACTGACTGAGTCATCTCCCCAAGCTCCAACATGTACACTTTTATGCTAGGACTTTGTCTTGGATACTGCACAGATCTGTATAACAAGCTCGACATTGTCACAATCTAAGAATGAATGTGAACCCTGCCCACTCCACCCTCCCCTCGCCCCTATCCCCACCCTGCATCGAATGTTGACTGGTCAGTATCCTGTTGGTGGTGTTATTTTGGCAGGATCTGGAAAATAAGGTCCCTGGAGGGTCCATTAACTCTGGCTACTTCCTGCCTCATGTAGAGATTACAGGTGTGTAGCACTAGGCCTGGGCTTTTATGTAGTGCTGGCAATCGAAGCAAGGACTGCATGAATGCTAGGCTAGTTCTTTACCAGCAAAGCCACGCTTCCAGGCCCCCTGTTCAACAGTTTAAGTCCCACAAACAACTGTCTCCTAACTCAGTGTAGAAGCCTTGTCTCCTTTTCTTAAGAAAGAAACCAGACTGAGGGGGCAGCTATGTGACCACTGGGGTCAACAGTGTTGTTTAATCCACTGAGGTCCTTGTTGTTATCCTTCTGACTGTTTGTCATCTACAGACTAGTAGAAAATCCCAGCCCAGGTCCAGAGGTCAAGAAGGAGATAATGTAGAAGGTTTCTTGTAACAAAAAAGCTCATATAGACACTGAACAGTAACTGGCTCTCCCCTTCCCCATCTAAGGGGCATCTCTATGACACATTCTAGCCTACAGCTGTGGTCCTGGTGCATGATACAAAGGATATATTAGTATCAATTGTGGAGTGCTGAGGACCACATCCCTCAGTGGTCACAAAGTAAACAGCCTTGTCTTGTAGCCATTTCCCTCCTGGAGGGAAGCCTCTTAACCTGCAGGAAGCAAAGGAAGCTTACAAGGCTCAGAAAGTTCCCGAGATTTACAAGATTCACAAGGCCTCACTCCCCAGGGTTAAATAAACAGTAACAGTTGCAGGAGAGAGGAGTCTCTTTACTCTGCTGAGCTGCTTGCAGGTTCTGAATGGAGCTCCAGGGATGCAGCTTGTTTGAGCTGTTACCCATGCCAGAGTGGGTTTTCCACTAACACAGGGGCCTTTGAGCTTTCCATGCCCCTTCCCCATATGACTGAAATAACCCCAGGAAGCTCATGAGGCTGCTAAATTGACTTTCATCTGCCATTGGTTCCCTGTCATTTGCTGATGTCACCCCGGGAATGTTGAGCACAAGGGCCATCCTACAGTCCTGGATCCAAAGCTTTTCAGCCTCTTCCTTTCTTCCTTCCCATCCCTGCAATGCATCAAGGCCCAAGGTCAACTTCAAACACAATTTCACATTTCCTCCCTCATAATATCCCCGCAATAACCTAAAATACCCTGAAATCTGATACACGGAAGGGAAAGACTACAGTAAAGTTTCCGAAGTTCTCAGCTCACTGTGGTGGTAGGTGCCTATAATTCCAGCACTCAGGGCTGAGGCAACAGAATTAGATACACATCAGGACCCTGTCTCCAAAAGATAACAAAAGCTCTGGCAGGGGAGATAGCTCAGTTGCTAAAGTATTTGCTGTGCAAACAGGAGGACCAGAATTCCACTCCCAGGACCCTTACAAATCTCCAGGTGTGGCAGCAGGTGCTTGTAGAACCCCAGCACTGAAGCAGCAGAGACTCACTGGCCTGCTAGCCTATGGTGATTGGCAAGCCCGTGAGAGACCCTGTATGGGGACGGGGGATGTAGGACAACACCCGAGGTCGCCTTTGGGCTCTATATGTACACAGCCACACACATACACCAGTTTTACAAGTTATAACTTACTATCTAAGAGGGTCCTATACTGGATGTCAGGGACTCCGAGTCTCACACACAAGCACAGGATACCCTCATTGGATTAGACAGATCATCTAGAACATGACTTGCAGGCTATGACCTTTAGGAAGGAAGCCGTGGGTAGAGTAAGTTACATCCCACCATCACCAATACCAGTTCCCTGCCCAAATGCGGCAATACAGTACGTCATAATTTTAGGACTATTACCAAGTGATAAACAGTTGCTTTTTTTTTATAGAATCATACTTGATTTTATTTTACCCTTGGCAATGTAGGCTAGAACACCAGGAAGGTAAGAGCATCAGAAAACAGATTTAATTAGGAAGATGAGCTCAGTGCTTACTCAGACTTCTTGTCCATGATGTAGAGAAGAGCGTCCCTACCTTTGGGTGTTCTCTAAGGTAGGAGGAATTCAAAGCTTGAGAGAAAGCAAGGCTTGTGGCAGCAATATCAGATCAGGAGTGGGAACTTGGGCTGGGGGATAGCTCAGTCACTAAGTCCTTGCTTAGCATGCCCGAGGGCCCCAGCTCACTTCCCAGCAGTCATGTTACATGTTAAAAGCTGGGCAGGTACATCCTTGTGATTCTGGGATGGGGGAGGCAGGGACAGGTGGATCCTTGAGACTTTCTACCCAGTTGGTCTAGCCTAATTGGTAAGCCCCAGTGAGAGACTCTGCCATATAACTAAGTGGCCAGATGCTGGGGAACAATGCCTGAAGCTCACTTCCAGTCTCCACACACATATGTGCACACTGGAACACATACACACATGTGCACACTGAGAACACACACATGTGCACACTGAGAACACATACACACATGTGCACACTGGAACACATGTGTACACTGGGAACACATACACACATGTGCACACTGGAACACATACACACATGTGCACACTGAGAACACATACACACATGTGCACACTGGAACACATACACACATGTGCACACTGAGAACACACACGTGCACACTGAGAACACATACACACATGTGTACACTGGAACACATGTGTACACTGGGAACACATACACACATGTGCACACTGAGAACACACACATGTGCACACTGAGAACACATACACACATGTGCACAATGAGAACACATACACATGTGTGTACAATGAGAACATACACACATGTGCACACTGGAACACATGTGTACACTGAGAACACATACACACATGTACACACTGGAACACATACACACATGTGCACACTGGAACACACACATGTGCACACTGGAACACATGTGTACACTGGGAACACATACACACATGTGCACACTGGAACACATACACACATGTGCACACTGAGAACACACACACATGTGCACACTGAGAACACATACACACATGTGCACACTGGAACACATGTGTACACTGAGAACACATACACACATGTGCACACTGGAACACACACATGTGCACACTGGAACACACACATGTGCACAATGGAATGCACACACACTAACACACAAACTAAGTCTTAAAGTCCGCATGCCTTCTGCACTGCACTCTCTTCGACCCTCTCTTTGCTTTAAGAGAGGCCAGTGTCACGTCAAGATGCTCAAATGGCACAATGGAGAGGCCCTTTGGTGGGGACCTGAGGACAGGTTGCCAGGCAGGGCAACGAGGCAGCCGAAAGTACGTCCCTGTGCCTCAGCCAAGCCTTCTAATGACCACCGCAGGCATCCCGAGGGCAAGCCACTGAGAGAAACACAGCCAAAGTACCCAGCTGGGCTACTCGCAAATTCGTGACCCACTGAGACCGTGCGACTTGCCAGATACTCATTGCCATCTTCTGCTCCTCGATTATGATGCCATGTGAGGAGCCACGGCTGAGTCCAAGTACCTTTGCTTCTGTGAGAACTAGATACCAGCTATGACAGAAAGTGGTGCCAGTCTCTTAGCCTGGTATCCTTTCTACAGCACTACCCCATCCTGGAATACTAGAGGCAGAAACCTGCCTTTCTGCTCCTCTCTTAGACTATCGACCATTGCTGCCGACTAGATAGATACATTCATGCAGATGTACCATTTGTGCATGTGCGCACAGGTGCACGGCCTCGTCTTAATGTCCCCTCCCCTAGCTACCCAAGCGTAAAGGCTGTGAGCATCTCTCCCTGCAGGGATGGCTGTGGCAGCTGTTTCACAGTTTCCTCTTGTGACTTCTCTCAGTGACCGGGCAGCAAAGCATGGCTGCTGGGGACCGAAGGCTGTTCCTCTGCTTGTTTGCTAGTTGGGGAAGTAACTGCTGGAGAGGGAAGACATAATCGCAAGCCTCTGCATGCCAGGACCCATTTAAATATTACAAAGTGGGGATGGGGAGATGGCTTGGTTGGTAAAGTGCTTGCCTGACAAGCAGGAGGACCTGAGTTTGATTCTCAGACTCCCCCCACCCACAAAACAAAGCAAACAAAACAAAACAAAACCTGTGTATAGTGTCCTGAGTTTATAATCTGAGCAACTGGGGGAGGCTGAAATAGGAAGGGCCTGAGAGCTTGTTGAGGGTCGGGCTAGCTGAATCAGTGAATTCCAGGCCAGTGAGAGACCAGCTCCAAAGAACAAAAGTCGATGGCTCCCAAAGGACGCTTATGTTCACACACACTCACTCGCATGCAGTCACACAAAATACATAAAATAAATAATCTTAGATACAATTTCCCCCTTGGTTCACTTTGCTCACCCATCTTATCACTCCAGGGGTGGAAGACCTACAGTGTAACAAACCCAAAGATAATCTGCAATCATATTAGCTAGCATGGCAGAACCATGCTAAAGAGAGTCAGTGTTCCGTCAGAAAATGTGGCCATGGCCTGGTCCTGGAGATGCCACACTGTGAAGAATCTGTGGAGAATTGGGGCCTCCATGTAAGATATGGATCTGTTCCCCACAGTTCCTTCCTTCCTCTCTGAGATGGCGCTATTTTAGATGTTATGGGATCTTGAGAAGATAAGTCATTAGAGTAAGATCCTTGGGGGATATGATACCCAGCCCCTTCCTGTTTTGTTCTCTGCTTCCTGTCCCTGTAAAGTGAAGGAAAATACCTCCTGTGCCATGTGCTCCCATGTCCTGCCCAAACACAGAGAGCCAAGTGACCATCTGAATCCTCTGAGACAGGGAGCCAAAGTGAATCTTTCTTCCTCCAAATTGGGTCTGTCATCTATTATTGGCACAGCCAAAGGTATTTGTATACTTATTGCCTGTGTGATAGATGAGGAGTACCAGAGTAGGAAGAGAGATGGGAAAAAGGATTGCTAATCTGTCTTAGGAAAATACAGTTACTGAAAAAAAAAAAAAAACTCTATTAAGAAATCAAAAAAATGCTGTGCTCGGATGGTGCTTGTATTTTTTTAAAATTTACTCTTTCCTAGTTTTTACTTTAGTTTTTCTTTAGTTTGGTTTTTGGTTTGGGGAGACAGAGTCTCACACCCTGTAAACTTTGTAGCCCAGGCTGGCTTCAAATTCATAGCAATCCTCCTGCTCCAGTCTCCTGAGTACTAAGACTCCAGGTATATTCCACACTGCCTGTTTTCAATCGTGTTTTAGACACCTAAAAAGAAATTCAATTCGATTGAACTTGACAACTCGTCCGGCTCATGTTTTAAAAGCAAAGATTAATAACTCATTCCCCCAATTCCATAACCATGAAATAACGGTTACATTTTAGAACAGAGAAGTGATGTAAAAGTGATTTAGTGGCACTCTAATAATTATAATGTAGGCATCAGTAATCTCCAACCAGAATTCACAAGACAGTAAATTGACAGCATTGGAAGCAGGCCCTTAGATAAGGCCGTCACATCATATGAAGAGCATCAGTGCTGATGGGATCCAACACGAGCTACCAGATACACTGTCAGCAGGGAATCTCAGGTTTGGGCTAGCAGCTATTCAGGGTAAGCTCACCTGCCCACACCTCAAAGCTGCTGTAGAGGAAACGAAGCCACCATGTTGTGATCGTCTGAGAAATCTGCAACCCCCCCTTTCCCAGAGGAAGTTTACTGAAAACCCTAAGCAACCGGACACTACAGGAATCACACCCAATGTAATAGGCACACAGTAACTAGAGGGACCAACTTCTGCCACTGAGGCAGACACAATCTGACTGCGAGCATATGCTACAAAGCCCTCAGCGAGCACATGGCATAGGACCCACACCTCCACTCTGGCTCATGGAACCAAATTCTCCTCAGAACTCCTCTAATGCCTGTTCACCTAAGGCATTAGCAACTCTCCCAATGACCCTCTTACCTAAAAGGATAACCTGTCTCAGTGTCTCTCTTGAACCCCTAAACTGAGAACATTCAGGGAGTTAACCCAAAGAAAGAATTTTCATAGATACCACCAATGTCCCCTTTTCAAGGTCCCCAAGACAAAGCCTCTTGCGAGTTGGACTTGGAAGAACTTCACTCCCACAAATTCAGACTCTCTCTGCTCCAAGGAAAAGATACAAGGAGACAGCACACTTCTCTAAGCCCGAACTGAGAATGGCATAGACCTCAACTGAGACATCTGATTTGAAGAGCACCCATCACTCCAGTCCAAGAGAGGTCACTTCAGTCTGAAGAGACACTCAAGACTTCATAGTCAAAGTCAGCTCATTCTAAAAGGCACGGTACTGCCAGACTGAATCGTATATGAATATCTCACTTACCTGCCAGAAGATACTGTCTATCGTATTTCCAAGGAAACCATCACGACCTTCTGATGACACCAGCTTGGGCCCAAGAATTGTCATGAATTCATCAAAATCCACCTGCCCATCTCCTGGAAGGAGAAAAGAGGTATGAGTGGAAAAGTACCAGAAGTGTGATCCACAGCCTCTGATGCAGCAAACACCTCTGCTTTTTCTCCTTGACATGACCTAAATATAATAAAAACAGCTGGTGATGTAAATGATAATTGTTTAACACTGGTTAATTTTTTCCTAATTTTGGGAATTGAACCCAGATGCCCAAGCATCCTAGGAAGGTGTTCTACCACTGAGCCACACCCTAGCCCCTCACTGGGGGATTCTAGGCAGGAGCTCTGCCACTGAACCACACCTAAGCCCCTCACTGGGGGATTCTAGGCAGGGGCTCTACCACTGAGCCACACCCCAGCCCTTCACTGGGGAATTCTAGGCAAGTGTTCACCCCTAAGTCACAACCCCAACCCCTTACTGGGAAATTCTAGAAAAGCATTCTACCACTGAGCCATAACCCCAACTCCCCACAGAAGGAATTTAGATAGGTACTTGTCCTAGGTAGGTGAAATTGTTGCTGTTCACTTGAATCAAGCTTCTTTGGGAAGAGAAAACAATTGAGAAAATGTCCACAGAAGATAGGTCTGTAGCCAAATCCGCGAGGCATTTCCTTGATTAATGGTTGATGTGGGAGAGTTTACCCCACTGTGGGTGGTGCTACCCCTAGGAAGGTGGCCCTGGATGGTATAAGCAAGCAAGCTGAGCAAGCCATGAGGAGCAAGCCAGTAAGCAACACTCCTCCAGGTCTCTGCTTCAGTGCCTATCTCCAAGTTCAGGCTTCTTCCCTGACTTCCCTTCATGACTGATTATGATCCCGACATATAAGTTGAAATAAAACCTTTCTTTCCCAACTTATTTTTGGTCACGGTGTTTTATCACAGCAATAGAAACCCTAAGACAGTAGTCTATACTAAACCAAATTCACCCACATATTCCAGGTAGGCACCACCCTACCTCTGGACCACAGCCCTAGGCTCTCATTGGAGGATTCTACATAACCACTCAAGAGCTGAGCCACACCCCAATTCCATCCCCTCTATCCCTGAGCAGCATCCCTAGCCCTCTTTATACTTTTTGTTTAGAGACATGACCTTCAACTTGCAAGCCTTCAGCCTAGGCTCATGAATAATAGGTCTTCACTACCAAGGCCCGCTTTATTTCAAAACATCAAAGTATCACAAGAAAGTGGCAAGAAATAGTATATATAATAGTATGAATTTCCACTCCTCTCTTGAAAAACAACCTGTAAGATTATTGTTGTTGTTGTTGTTGTTGTTGTTGGTTGTCTCATGTAGCTAGGACCAGCTCAGACTTAGAATGGAGCTGAGGGTGACACTAATGTCTGCTCATCTCATCCCATCCCATTCCCCAAGTGTTAGGAGCACATGTGTGTGCCATCATGCTGAGTTTACTCGGTGCTAGGGCTGGACCCATGGCTTTGTGCGTGCTCCACAACAAGCTTGGTGGGATAATGCAGTCAAGAATCAACACCTGCATTTGGGATTATGACACCATAATGCTGTCTCCATACCTAATCTTCCATAGAATTGGAGATTACTTTCCCCAAAGATAATTCAATACTGCTTTACAAACTTCAGTGATAGTTTGACCTAAAACCAAGAAAAACACCTCAACGTAACCTCCAAGCCTGCTTATCTCTTTAGTACTCCCTCCATCCCCACCATTGCATAAAGAGTAACGCATTGCTTTCACCGTTCCATGTACCGGTTGCTATGGCCCCTGGGGGATGTCTTTACCCATGGTCTACCTGGTACCTTGTTCTCAGAGGAGGAGCTATGATGCTCAGTTGTTATTTTACTGTGCTCCAGTTACGGATTGTAGGACTTCCACCTGAACTGAATTATGTAGGGAAAGAGACCAAATCAGTTGAATAACTATTTCCTCTGAAATGAAACACTCCCTCTAGGAGGGAGAGTCATTAAGACTAGAAGAAGTCAACAAAACTTACAAGACAAAGAAAGTCCCTAGAACTTACAAGACTCAAAAAACCCCTGTCAATGTTACATAAGCAGTTACTAGGCTGGGGCAGGGCATGTTTCCAATCTGTTAACCAAGTGCAGGGAGCTGTAGGGATGAAGCTGTTATGAGTCCTTGCCCACGCTCGGCAGACTTTTGGTGATGCAACTGCTTTGAGTCCCTCAAGCTCCTGTAAGTAATCCCAACTCACTGGTTCCCAAAAGTAGACTACAGTGAAATCAGTCTTTGGTTTGTCATCTGTGCTCCATTTGGGACAAACATATCTGTTCATGTCTCACCAGGAAAAGTCACCCAACAAAGCTTGAGACATCTATGCACATTGATGGCCTATTCAGCATGTCCTTGTAGAATACGTAAGTGATGTCTCTTGTCTTCCCTTTGGTCAGTTAAGTATCACTCGTGTTTCTCCATGTCAGAGCTGATGCTAAACTGAGGGTGCTGTCAAGACAACTTCACAGGCCAACGTGAACCTTCAGGGCATTGAGTGATCCTCAGCAAGTCATCAGCATGGCATTAGGGACCCTTAGAACTGTTTAAACTGGTGACACAGCCTTATCTTAGCTCCAGATAACGAACACACACATAGCAGTGTGCCAAAATTCAGAGTCGAAGATTAATCTACTCTCCGAATATCTGTGTATCCAAAGATCACTCATTCAAAACCTATGCCCAAAGGCCAAGTGATTGTCATCATCAAGATGTCAATAACTCCGTACAGACAGTCCAGGAACACATTTCCTTATAGCTGGATCTTCTGGGAGGATCAGGGAGGTGTGGCAAGCCAGCAGGAAAGGGAAGATTAATCCACCAAATGAGGTGGAGCAGTCAATGAACTGCTGAGTGGAAATCATTTTTATCTCACCATTTGACAAGACAGAGGGAGCTGGGATTTCACCCTTGCTGGTGTGTTAAGGATGTGCACACAAACAAGGAGTTCAGATTAGCAAGTACTTCTAAACAGAAAATTCCCCCGGTGCTGGACAAGACACAGAACGATGCCTTCTGATGCATTCCTGGTATATTTATTCTTGGGTATAAATAGGATCTATCAAGACAGCAAGAGAAGAAACAAGAAGGAAAAGAGGAAGAAGAGTAAGGAAAAGGAAGAAAAAACAGGAGAGGAAGAAGGCAGATGAAAAAGGAGGAGGAACTGGGAAAAGAAGAGGAGAAAGAAAAGGAGGGAGGTGAGTATAGTATGAAGATTAAGGAGGGGAGAAGAAGATGGAAGAAGTGAAGTAGGAAAGAGCATTAAGAAGCACTGGCTCCAACATTCCCTAAATATGCACTGTAGACACAGCTCAGAGTTATCATCCTGACTCACCCATGGTGAACTCTGAAATTTATAAAGTCTTTAAGCATCAGCTCAAGGACACAGGTCTTTTTGTGTGCAGACCTTACGAGATCTTAAGATGCTGGACAGTCACATCCCTGCTCATGGGCTAGTGGGCACTGTTCTCTCCCACTTGCAAGACGAGCAAGGTGGTCGACTTGCCCATGCTTCTCATTCTGGGAAAATAAAACTGTTTGGAAAATGCACCTTTCACTTAAGAGTGGAGGGACCACCCACTTCTCCACCTGCAGCAGAGGATCAGAGGAGCAAAGCACTGTGCATTTCAAGGATCCTCTGGGAGTGCTGGTCCCACTCACAACAGCACCAGGCAGCACACGAGTAGATGCTATTTGGGGCCAAAGGCCCCATCCGAGCAGAAGCCGACCAGTAGAAGTGATGCTTCTGAGCTCTACCTTGGCCCAGGAAAAAACAAGCAGCTCATTTACCACTTACAAATTGTAGTCTGCCTGGAGGAACTAGAGATGGCTTAGTAATTAAAGTGCTTGCCTTGCAAGCATGGTGTGAGTTTGGGTTCCCAGAAAGCATGGCTGCCTAAGCCTGGGAAGGTGAAGACAGGGGTTCCCCAGAGCAAGCTCAGCACAACCTTGCACTCCCCAACATGCAAGAACACACACACATACACACACACACACACACACACACACACACACACACACCTAAATGGCTGCCTCATGGGCTGGGAAGATGGTTTAGGGGTTAAGAGCACCCACTATTCTTCCAGAAGGCTTGGATTCAGCCAGCAGCGGCCAAAGCAGGTGGCTCACAAACAGCTTTAACTGGAGCGCCAGAGGATCTGACGCCCTCTTCTGGACTCTGAGAGCATCTGCAAGCACATGCACAAGCACACTCCTGCCACACACACAAGTGTACACAACTGGAATACAAAATAAGTCTTTGAAATGACTCTTATTCCTATGGGTTTTGCTTACTCATTGAAAAGGGTAATAAGAAAGAGGAGATAGTTGTGTGGCATTTTCTAGATGGCCGGTATATGAGTATTACATAAACTTATTTCAACTCCAACACTATGAAGAATTCTCCCAATTGATTTCTTACCAGCGGTAAAAATTAGGCAAGAAGGGGTTAAAAGTAATGAGTGGAAAGATGCCAGAGAGACAGCACACGACCGACCGACTGAGCAAGGACTCAATTAGGATCCCAGTATTAACTCTGCAGCAGACCACACCCCCCCCCCTGCATCAGAGAACCCAGCATGCATCTTGATAAGGTTCATGTTGCTCTCCAGAATCTGAGAGTTATAAGGTTTTCTGCTCTTAGCCCAAGGAAAGGTTTTGATGAGAAATTGGGAAAGGTGACCTTTGGGAATTTTAATGTAAATGGCCACTGTCTAAAAGCCACATGCTCCCCAGATTGCAACTCTGCCTGCACAGAGCATCCTTAGCCATCCTCACAGATGGTCGGTTCCCAGAGGATCCAGGACACACACAAGCCAGTGCACAACTCAAATTTCTTCTACCCCGAAAAGACTTGGTCTGATAAGCAAGTCTAATGAGGGTGGGATCACCGCAAACAGCTAGTATCGGGTGTCCCCAAAGGTAAGTGTGGAGTTTCTGGACCAGTTACCTTTTCTGAAGTGCAGTCTCCCGTGCAGGTTTGCATACATGTGTATAGTATATGTGCATGTGTGTGTGCGTGCATGTGTGAGGAGGTCAG